CGATTATTAAATTAGTCATCGATTATTTTAATAATCGATTAGAAAACGATTAATCGATTATTAAATTAGTCATCGATTATTTTAATAATCGATTAGAAAACGATTAATCGATTATTAAATTAGTCATCGATTATTTTAATAATCGATTAGTCGTCGATTAATCGATTAATTGTGGCAGCCCTAATATAAACACACAAATAAAAACTCACCATTTCTCCTTCCTGACTGGGAAGAATTTCCAAAATCATGTTCTCGCCTCTACTGCTCTGCTGGAAGACGACCACCCCGTTTTTCTTCTTATAAAACTGCACAGTGAATGAAGCAAACGCAATTTAGAATAGAAAGTTTAAGCGGAGAGAAGAAAACAAAATACATTTCAACAAAACATTATCCTAAAAATGAGGAAAAGTCGTTATTGCTTATCTTGGGAACAATTTAAACCAGATTAAATGGCTTGTTTTAGTACAAAAGCATTTACAATTTGGCAGAAAAACTATTTATTTAAAAACAAAAATCATGTATATACAATAAAAAAACAATCATGAATGAGGGAGCAGAGAGGAGAAAAAAATAATCTTCTAAAAGGAGAACATCAGCAGGCACCCAACCTTGTGTTTGATGTGGTGTAAAGTGGGGAAGCCACAGAAGTAGAGAGTGGAGCGGTCCGCACGCTTGCTGACGTGGTCCAAATGAACTTTCCAAGCATCCATGGGGATGTTTGCTTTCCTGTATCAACAAATACATTTCCTGTGAGCTTGAGAGCAAAACTGATGTACARTGTTTGAGTTTGTTTTAAACCCTAACAGGAAAATCTATCCAGACTAGGGATGTAAGCAATTAATTGACTGATTTGTAACGAATATAATGTAAAATAATTTAAATTCAGCATATTACAAAAAATTGCCCTTCGTGTTATGATGAGACCCTCTTGATRCAAGAGAAAAGTCAGTYTTTTAAGAAAACGGCCACTTGTCAATTAATCATTAGCTGATCGATACGATCACCTTCAGGTTCAAAGATAATAATCCTAAYTTCACACAGCTCAGTACGAGTGTGTGTGTTTCTACCTGACGTGGCAGTGGGGGATGTTGGGAAACAGCTGAGGCAGGGAGGAGGTGTACACGAAGTCTATATCTGGGTCGTAAAAGTACACGGCACACTCCGAATGCCGATTCCTGGCCTTCTCTTCCTTTGTCAGATTGGGAGTGTGGGGCTCCATGGCTGCGAGCAGGCACCTCTGTTTAACAAACACACAGATTTATAAGTTATCATACGCTCTATTGGTCTGCCACCAGTTGTAGGCGAGTGTGTGTACCTCGTCTATAAACGGAATGAGCACCACAGCTTCCCATTCCTGCTGCTTGCCATTGAGGTCAGTTTTGAAGTCGACAGGATAGTACTCAATGATGGAGGAGTTTGTGCTGGTCATCAAGCCCTGAGACATCAAAAACAACAAACAGCATMTATATTATCTGCGCATTTTGATTTTTGTATTCAGATTGGACACCCTATTTTTCCTAAATGAAACAGTTTGTATGTTCTCACGTTTGACTGATACTACTTCTCTAATCCATTTACACGCTGAACTATCACTTGTGTGTGTGCTTKAGTCGTTACCCTGTAGCATTCAGGCAGCAGAGACTGGCTGGCAGAGGGCAGGACTGCCAACAGCTGCTGGAACGGCATGAAGGGCTCCCCAAGGTCAAAGGTCAGCTCTAACTCCGAGATATTCTTGATGTCAGACAGGAATGGGGCATAGTGGTATGGGTAGTACCTGAGGAGGTGCACACACGATGTTCAAAATTAATAAAAAGGAAATTATAACAAAAATAGTTCAAAACAATAAATCAATGCATAATTTGCAATAAAATGTTTCAAAGGCTCAGTTTTCTCAACTCCAATTAGGTTTGCTGTGATTCTGAAACACTAGTTGTCACTAAAGTCAGGCTGGCAAAACAAAACATTAGTACAGTGAACTGAAACTGTTACATTTAGGAATAAATGCAGAAAAGAGTAATTGTCTCAATTAATTCATTAATGTGCAAACAAATGCCAGAACAATAAAAAAGGAGTTTTAAACAATAATTGCTCTGAAATGTAACATTTCTTGATTTTTCTATTGCAATTTGTAGCTGCAGTCTTTTAGTTCTATTTATCAAATTTGTCCATAAATTTTCAAACATGCATTTCTTCCGTTCTGCATCATTTCTCCTTTGTTTAACATTTGTCCATCCATCGAGCCTCCTGTTCATTGTCATTTCAACCCTGCATGTTAATCTGTTTTTTAGAAATGTTCTGAAATAATCCCACTTTACTGAGAATACAGAAGCAAAAGAGTAAAAATACTCACCAGCTCCAGGACTGAACTCCATGATAATAGTAGTGAAGAATCCACTGGATACCTTCCACGTAGCACTGGGCCTGCTCGGCTAGGAACTCACTGCAAACAGATAAATAAAATAAAAACACTGAAAATGTATCTCAAAGTCACAGTTATTGTGCAGTTTTTATGTTCATCTTCTCACTGGAGCTCCTGAAGAATAGGTTTTCACTGGCTGTGCAACAAATTTCATGAGTTATTAGTGATGCGATCGGCTGTTTAATTATAAATTGTGCCTTTGATGCATTTTTAGTTCATTTAACTCAGAAACACAGTTAGTTTGTCAAATCTTTCTGCTTCATTTTTAAAACATCAAAGAACTTTTACCTCCTGAAGGTAAACAAAAAGCAGCCAGTGACTAAAATAAAACGGTTTATAAAACCAGGGTTTCTACAGCTTAAAACAAGCTCAATTTAAGGAGGAGGAGAGACGAAACGTTTCACTAAAGGAGAACCATCCAGAGGACCTACTTGTTTTTTTCTTTTTGATTTTTTTCTACCTGGATGACTGAGATGCATCAGAACAAGCTAAATTCAAAACTTTTTAAGACCTCTTTAATGCCACTTAAAATTTATTTTAAGACCAACTTCAAAAAAAAAACAATACAAAAAAATCAAAGAGAAAAAAAAAAGAAGAGTTGAAATGAACAGGAC